CTTCTATCCACAAAGATGAAACTCGGTGTACCATGTAAGCTTCTTTCCTCCAGCATCTTGGTAATCTGTTTTGAAAACTGTGCAGAGAACAAGCAAACAATACCTCATTTTATAGTGTGAATCCTGTTTCCAGAAGTGGACACCACGGTACTGTGTGCCGGAACTTCCACTCAGAGCCTTAATTGCATATACATAGAAATTCAGACTTACAGAAATGTAAGCATATAGAAAGCTGAACTTTATGGCTCAGTCACCTTTCAATTTAGATTTTAGTTTTGTTACTTGGAGTTTATAATGATTTCATCAACAAAAAAGAGCTAAAGGTAGACTAAACTTCTAATGCAGTGAAGCTCGTTAATAACCTAATTTTACATGAGCATGACATTAAGGTATAGTATCACCCTTTTATATTTATTTTGTGTGGATTAGCTTTCAAACTGTTTTTTTTTTCCTTTTGGCTCATAATTGCAAAGGACTTGCCCAGGGCAATTTGTCTTTGAGAAACTAAGATCCCCCTGTGGTTGTCATAATGAAGATTGGATGAACGTTCTCTATATGCCAACTTTTCCATGTAGGAAGGACAAGAAAGGAGAAAAAAATTTTGAGGCAATGCATTCTGACATCTAAATAATGAACTTCCAATTTATTGGGGGACTGAAAATGTCAAGGCAATTTAGAAACTAAAATTTTAGAAAACAGGTGAGCCAGTTGACTCTATACCTGATTGGATTTGGAGTTTAATGAACATTTTCAACAGATTGCTTACTCAAAGACAAGTAGATTTTTAAAAATTAAGTAGAATTTTTGTGATTCTTTAATGGATAGTAGGTTGTCTCAGAATGTTACTCCATTGCGCTTATCTATCACTTTTGATGGTCTAAATAAAAATCATCTAATTTTTGTTCATGGAAATAGAAAAATACTTTTTTTACAAATTAAGAGAAAGAAGGACTAGAAAATTTAAGTACTATTTTTCAATATCTGTTCATAGTCATATACTTTTTAAGAAAGAATTAAGAATTTTAAAAAGTCTGCATGGACCTTATTTTGTTTTAACATAATACTAGTCATGGCCACTTCTTAATATAATGCTAATGGCAAACATGATATTATTTAATGCTTTCACAACTGAATGGTTAAAACTATAAACATTGATTTTTTTTTAAAGCAAGACATGCATAATGTTTTCATATGATGGTGTAATTCCTTTTTCAACCACTTCTCCATTCTCTTAAATATTTTATGGATTTTATTAGGTCACATTTATGCTGTGAGGCAAGAAGTACCGAAAGTGTACTGTCTTCATGTATTTTCTGCTACTTTTTTCAAGCTCAATCACAGGACAGCATATCTGGGAGATAAACATATTTTATTATACTTCATTTTCCATACCTCATCTCTATTACGACCTACAAAACTTTTCTTTCTCTTCCGTGGATGCAGCAGTTCGAATCTTTATCCTATTGCTTATTATAAACATGGCGGTTATCCTTGGTTATAAATGATTGGAAAGGTTTTGAATGTTTACTTATGTTGAAATTTAAGAAACACATGCATCTTAGACACAAAAATGTGTAGCCTCAAAGATGATTTTAATGTGGACAGATGAAATCTAGATTTTTTTCTTGAGGATGATTGGTTTTTAATGAATCGAGACATCTCTGAAAACATGTGCTACCTGGTTGTATGGAGTTGTGTGTACATTTGTTTTGGTTTCTGTGTGTGTTCTTACATTTGCAATAATTTTAAGTTAATTCCAATGCAGATAATCAGCAGAGGACAACTGTGGTCTAACAATCAAAAGTAACATCATGAATGTATTCATATCAATTTGTAGATAATATATTTTTGCAAAACTTTATTTACGTTGAGAGATTTGACTGTCTCTAAATGTTTCCATTTTGGTGATGAGAGAGTTAAGGCAGATAGACTGCTAAATGACTTTTGCCCTGTTAGATTATAAAATCACTTCCATTACTCAGAAACTCATTTCTTGCTGCAGGCAGCCCACATCATTATAATAATAGTAATTATAATAATTATCATAGTGCTTACCTTATACTATGCTGCCTATCCCAGTGAATCCTCCAACTCTTTAAAAAGGAAACACTGTGTCCGTAGACCATAGTTGGGAACCTCTGCCTCTGAAACGCAGACACCACTGGAGTGGAAAAGGAGGCATCTTTCCTCTCTTTGAGTTCCAATTCTCCTAACAGTTGTTATTCAGAAGAAAAGATTTAATGACAGTTAAAAATAATTTGTGAGAATTGAATGGAAACTGAGTCTCAAACACCTCAAGATGTTGTTGTTACAAATGTAAATAATATCCAAGAAAACATATAAATTTTTAGCTTTTAGTGCAAAAGAAATTCTTCTCTTATAGGATCATGTTCTGCAGATAACGCGCTCATTGTATACACAGCGAAGAATGGCAATTTATTGGCCAGAGATCACCCATCAGCTATGGACGCCTTGATTGCAGGTATGTACATTTCCCATAATGTACTGGACTAGTCCCTAAGAAACATCAGGACTGTGTTATTTAGAATATGGAGTGCAAACGATCCTGCTTTACTCTTAGATTGCCTTTTTGCTCCAGTAATTTCTAAACCACACCATGTTCTCAGGCTAATTTTGGCTACATTGTGAGTATATGCGGATTGCACACAGGCAGCTTTGCAGCAGTGATTGCTGGCTGGCCATCTCACAGAACACTCTGGGTTTGTTTGATTTAAATTGGTTTTCCTTCCCTCTTAATTCCAATGAGTCTATAAATATAAGAAAAGTAGCTCTGTTGTATTATTTGGTTATATCTCTATGTGATCTGAGCTAGAATCAGTACTTTAGAATAGTATAAGAATAAGAAATATAAACTGCAGCATTTGACAAAAGTTCCCCAACCTTACAGGTTCTAAACAACAGCCATTTTGTAGACCTGACAATGTTAGTAATTCAGATGGCTTGGTTTTCTTCTCCCTCACGTCTGCATTTCCAAACCTAAATGTTTCTTCAAATGCTGTCTCATCCACAAGAAATAATCTCGCCCTCCTCTGAAACTAGTAACATAGGAGCTGGTTATTCCTTTCTTACAACACTTAGTCACTACATGCTCTGTATAAGCAAGGATTTTCCGTTGGCACCATGAATATTTATACTGCCTGTTACATAGTAGGTGCTCAATAAAATTATTCCACCTGCACTAAAGTCTACCTTGTTCAAATATGGTGTGTACTTAGGTGGATGTCTTATCTTTACAACCCAGATGCTTAGTAAAAACAATGATTATTATCCACCATAAAATTCTATAAAGTCATAGTAAAAATAAAAAGTTCCTATTATCTATCATTGCATCTTCTGAAGGGCCTTTAGGTGAAATGTATATACTGCACATTTAATCAACAAATGGATACAGCCTAAGAGTTGTGTTCACAATGTGTTGCTTAAATCCAAGTGTAAAATTGTATATCCTTTATAGAATACTTTTACTCTGTATGCTTTATATTTAATTAGGAGTACAATTTCCAGAAGCACTTTGGAAACAAGTAGCAACTATTCCAAAGGCCTATCCAAACAAAATAAATTTGAAATATATTAGAAGAGAAAAGAAAGAACATTCCCTCTGCTTCCCCCCAGAAAAGCTGGTCTATACTGAAAGACTTAATGTTCCTAGCAGATAACTAAAAAATGTGCTGAATCTAAGGAAAAAATTTATGTGTGGCCATCTGAACTTTAAAAAATAATTGCCCTGCTAAAATTTATCTTCCCTACGATTGGGTTAATGGAAGCCTATATTTTGGTATGCAAAGAATCCTTTTTTAAAATAAAAATTTATAAATCTCTTAGGCATGTTACCCTCTCATGTGACAAGAAATTTGCCTTAACATATAATCTGTCATATCTAAGCCTGCAAAAATGTGCTACTGGTGAGTCTTAAATGAAAACGCTATTTTTTTTTGGAGATGGACAATATTGGCCATATTATTCCAGTTGTGTGTTATTAAAAGAATGCATGATTCTCGTTATGAAAAAATGTAAATATTGCAAAAACAGTATGTTATTTTTCCCTGTAAGAGAAGACGACTTAGAAACATAGAGTGAAATAAAGATGTTTGCCCATTTGTTTCCCCTAAGGATGCATTTCAGGGACAGAAAGGGTGTCCTTGGTGTGCATATCGAGTGTCATTTAAGCTTTAGATTAGATGCTGCTCTTAAATCTATCTCAACGGGCCTGTGCTAAATGGCAAGGTTGTGAAATGAAATACAAATTAGGCTTAAATAGGATAGATTGCATTAAAAATGTACTCGACTGAGCAGGAAAGTTCAACCAAAGTTCAGTGAGTTCACGCTGGTGTGAAGTAGGGAGAGTGGCTGGGCACAGCGTCGTGTGTCTGCTGCGAGTGGGACCTCGCAGAGACTTCTTCTGGCTTCCAGAGGCGACACAATATACACAAACACGGGCATTCCAGCAGTGACTGACATCCTGCCGGATGAAGTTAATTTGATCCACCTGAGGATAATTCTAGCACCTGGCTTTACGGCCAGCATGCTCCCTGTTGGTTCACAACAAATAAATACACGTTGACCAGCTCTCTAACATAGCATCTACCTGCTCTGTTTGCAGCATTAGCAGATACTTCTGATGTTAAAAGTTATCATTCATATGCTTCTGAGGAATAAATTACAGTGAATGGCACCGAAATAGATATTCTTAGCTTTTCGATTGCTCTCCACTTTCAACACGGTTTACATAATTTAAAAAGAACTTTGAATTATTTCAAGTATCCTACTGAGAAAATTATTTCATCTTTCTGCACATTAAAAAACCCTATAAATTTGAAACAGATGACTTTTCACATTCCAGTTTTATCTGTTATAGCTGAAAGTTGATAATACAACTATTTTTCTCTTGATAGACCAGAACCTAAAACTATTTGCATTGATGAAGATGGTTAGTGTATATACAATGAACTGTTTAAGTACTTTACATTTTTTTCTTTTTCTTAGAGCTCGAACACAGTCCCTCACTACCACAAATTACGCAGTTGAGTTTCCCGCATTTGGGGAAATTGCAGGGGTCAGCACATCCAGAGTGCAATGGATAAACCTTGCCCTGTGAAAACCACCTTTGCTCATGGTCACGGTATCTCCCCTGCCAGGTAAATATACATTTCTTATTTATTTGCCCCAATAATGCTATAGAGCTATGATGGAGTTACTACTACTTCCTTCATCCCTATTCTATGGAAGGAAAGCTGAGGCACAATAAGACTTAGTAATTTGCCGGAGAAACCAGGCTTGTATGGAAGGAAACCAGGATTTAAACACAAGCCACCTGGCTGCAGAGTTAGAAACTTACCACTGTATTGTGACATCTTACCATTTCATGCTCCATAAAAAAAGAGGAAATGCAAAGGATGAACGGAACACCTGAATAGTCCAGATTGAAGGGTCAAAAGTGGGAATGCACAGCAACTGCTTTAAACATTTTATTGGTCAAAACTGCTGATGGAAACAGGGTTTCTTTTCAAGATGATAAATATGCTTGAAAATTGTGACAAGTGTAACTCTTTAAGTATACTAAAAACCATTACATGAATAGTATATTTATTTAGGAATCTCCTCTTCTAATTCCTCAGAAAACAACCCTAATTTATTTTCCTCCTTCATTTTTTAAAAAATTATAATTGAAAATGCATTCAAATGTCATTATTCTATTTATTGTTTTCCTTAACCTCATTTAAACATTTTTCAAATTTGAACTATGGAGAAGTAGGGAAGGGACTTTGGAGTGGGTCACTTTCTGAAAACATTTATGTTGAAAATAAATTAGATTTTGGCTGCTTTGGTCAGTGCCCGGAAGTTGGCAAGAGCATACATCCTTATCAAACCAAGAGCTCTGTTCTTAATTTAGGATATTAACATTTCTAGTCTAATTTTTCTAAAGTTACACCCTCATATGTTAAACAAAATGTCTAATTCCCCAGGGATAAGTATACAGGATAGTTTAACCCTGAAATATATTAGAAACCTAGAATACATTGTTTTGTTTTGTTTTACTTATAAACACAATTAACAAAATTGTAAGAGAAGATAAAACAAATGTACTTATAGTACATTTCATGTATATTTGCAGTGTGTTAAATTCTTTCATACCTGTAATGAAAGTATCTTGTTGACCCCTGTGTTATAAGCCACGTGAAAAAAATGTGCATTTTAGATTTTAATCATAAACAGATTTAGACTCCATTATGGCTTTCTTCTTTCAGCCTTTATCAGCACAGTCATTTAAATAAAATGTTTATTTGTAAAAGTATATGTATGTGTGCTTTATTTGAAAGAGCTGATTACAACCCTGTTTGGAGCTTTTATGATACCTCTTTTAAAAAGTCATTTTTAGGTTAAAATTCAAACATTTCACCTTTTAAACTGCTTCATGTTTGACCTAGGTATGCTGGAATGAAACACACCCAACCTGCTTGAATCTCTCCCTATTTAAGAGAACCTTTCTGAAAAACAGGCCTGGCAGTCAACTTCCTCTCTGTGGCTTTGTAAGAATAAATTAAAATGTGCAAAATGACTTGAGATTCATGGTGAAAGGGTGCTTTAGAGTGTTAATCCCTCATGAATTCTGCCTCCAGGATCTTGCTTAAATGAGCAGGAAACTTCTGGAATTGAACAAGCATTGTGGGTGGCCATTCTATGGTTAACAGGAAGAGAGGGGAGATTTCAATTAAAGATGTGAGTTAACTCACATAAATACCGTTATTTGTCGGTGCCTGTGTATAAGTATAGGCCTGCACTGATAGGACAGACAGGCCAAGAAAGCCTGAAAAATTAAATTTCTTATGTGTCAGTGGAAATGTTTGGAAAATAAAATGTACATTTTCAGGAACCTGTTTTGTATCTCTTAACATACTTCTGCAGTTTCACATGGCATTGAATTTGGCTATGTCCAAAGTTATAGAGATTTACAGATAAGTTAAAGGACAGAATTATGTTTTAGTTTACTCTGGAAATTTGGGGTTTAAATTGTTTTTCCATTTCTATTTCCATGTTCTGGTGTGGGGAAGGAATGTAACATACATTTATTTCCTGTGTATTTCAAAGGGAAATGATTCCCACATATTATGGCCACACAGTTTAAATAGTATTGTCTTTAATAGCAGAATGAGAAATTCTGTCTCTGATGATAACTGCAGACATTTGCTTTATGAATTGTTTTTGATCTCCTTATTACTCATTACAATTATATTTTAATGTGCCCAGGATGGTGAATACTGACTAAAGCATCTTTTTAAATGTTTTTAACCACCTTATCTATACATACATACACACACACAAATCTAAAATTGAATTTATACTATTTCATTAGGTTTTACTTTTTGAAAGAAGATAAAATGAATTGCTTCAATTTCCAAAAAATCAGTTATTTAAGCAATTTGAAGTTTAATTTACAAGTGGAGCAAAGTTGATCATTCACGTGGTCTCATTTTGTCAGATACTAGTGAATTTGTGAAGCAAGGCATGCTGGTGGAGGGTTAGGCTGGGTAAGAAATACTGTGAATATTTCAAAAATGAAGAGATTGAAATTCAAGTATATTTGTGGTAAGACGAAAAGAAAATGGTGGCTTTACCATTTACTTTCTAATACAACTGTCATTTATATGAAATTTGTTTTTTTTTTAAGTACTCTCAGATTTGGTGCCTCAGTATCTTTTCAATGTCTGGAGAACAATTGGAATTTGGCACTTGACCCTTCCACTTGTCAACCTCAAGAAAAATGAAAATGGATTAAGCAGCAGACGATGCCTGAAGGTTTGGCTGGTATACTCGGACTTGTCTTAAAGTGCACACCTCACTCACTGGGCTTTGTTGTTTTTTTACCACTCCACACAAATAATGAGGCTGGCCTCTGAACTGTTTCAGGGGCAGGCCTGTGTCCCAATCGCCATGTTAGAAAATTGCCTGATTCTGCAGCAGACACCCCCACCGATGTAGTTAACGAAGACTCCACTCAACCCAAACCCGCAGAGGGAGTCTGTTTATAAATACAGTGTGCAGTGCAGTATATGCTATCTCTGGCTGTCCAGTTCTCTTCAGACATGCTTAGCATACTATGTACTCTTTCTGCCCTTTAATTACAAAGAGTAATCATGTGTTTAGCACCAAATTCATACCAAGGATTCCGTATGGACTTCATGAACCTTAAGATTCAAGAACTTTGGCCTTTGAGTCTCAGTCAGGGCACACGCCTAGGTTTCGGGTTCAGTCTCCTGTCAGGGTGCATATGAAAGGCAACCAATCCATGTTTCTCTCTCACATCAGTGCTTCTCTCCTTCTGTTTCTCTCTTCCTTCCCCTCTCTCTAAACCCTCCCTCCCTTCTTCTCTCTCTAAAAGCAATGAAAAAAATATGCTTAGGTGAGGATTAAGAAAAAAGAAAACAATAGTAAAGAAGTTTCGGGGACTTCGACTTGTAAAGTCCCCTTTCAAATCCTAGAAGAGGCTCTCACAATGCGTTCATATATAGCCATGCTGCTGTTGGTGGGAATCAGGGTTTTCCACGGATCACCAGGAAAGCATTCCAGGGACCCCCACACAGGAGACTGTGCTGGGGCAAGATGGTTTGTTCATGTGGAAGGCTGCCCTTGAGTTTCCAGTTTCTCATTTCCCCCCGTCCCAGGGTGGAAGAAGTCCAACCTTGCCTTCAGCAAGGTCAGAGCAAAGGCTAGTGTCCAAAGTTTCTGCTTCATATTCAAGTTTAGTCCTTCAGAGCTCATGCCATCTGCTGCAGGCCCCAGTAGCTGCTAAACCCACAAGGTCACATGGTTGTGTGCTACCGCACGAAGGCAAGGGGTGAGAGTGGGTGCCCAGGAGAAGAGAGGGGGAGAGAGACAGACAGACAGACAGACAGACAGACATCTTATTTGTTCTCCGGGGATGATATTAGCTTAGGTTTGGGATAAACCAGGTGCTTTTCCAAAAGAATCGATCAAATTCCCAAGCTTTTGCATGTTTTTAATAGGCCCAACCTCTGGTTAGACTGGCAGGGCTCTTTGGTCAAGAGCCCCATTGGCACCCCCCAATAACCTGGTACCACTGGGCACACAGTGTTCCCGTGGAGATGTTCTGTGCCCTCAGAATCGCGTCTCCTCGGCAGCAGTCCCCTGTGGGGCGTGGATGAGTGGTACGTGCTGGAGCTTCCCGGCCAAGCAAGTAGGCTCACGCTCCCCAGTATACTAAACTGGGCATCGAATTCCGTTTGCTCTCTTTTGTCTATTAATAAGTAGTTAACTAACTATGGTAACAATGCTTTTGTAAAATATCAGAATGATATTTATTGGGTTTACGATAAATAAAACAAGACTTACTACAAGCAGATACTGTGCTTAACGTTGAGGACGCACATGTCACAGCCTTGTGCTTTCAGGAACTCGCAATTTATTGTAAGGGTTATCAACAGAAATGGATAGTTTGAAAGTTTTGTTAAGGACCAGGGAGACTGGGAAGCACAAGATGTAAAAACAAAGCCCAGACTTGACTTTCTTCAAGAGAGAATGCCCGAGCTGAGTCTTGACTCTGCGTCTAGCCTTTGTTTCTTGACAAATAGGAATGAAGATCATATGTTTGTGTATGACTTTTAAGAAAAGAAATTTAATTTCTATTTTCCAGGACTCTGTTCAACACATTACACAGGAGATGAAAGGAATTCACTGAACTTGCCAAACATCAAAGTAAATAAATAGGACTTTATCAAAGGTTTTAAAGAAAGAAAGAAAAAGATCTTATATTTATAATTTTAATTCAGAAAACATGACTAAATATATGTATATAAAAACTTTTAAATCAAAACATTGTAAGTACAGGTTAAAAAGAGCAATGTGTTGGGGGAAGGAATAGGCATTCACAATCGAAAGCCACGCACAGGAGTCCATGGGATTTTTACGCTAATTAACAGCACGTTGAACAGTGAGAGCAAGGACATATGTCAAACATCATTTAACAGGTTTTAAATCTGCACTTAGCAGCAAATGCATAACCCATTTGGACCCAGATCCCTGGCTTTGATTTCTTAAGAACATATAGGCAAATATACTTTAGAACATGTAGTAAGATTAGTGATTTACAACATACACAAGGGTGATTTCACCCAAAATTTAGGGCAA